AACATACTCTGTTCTCAGTCTAGGTTTGGAAACTAAATTTACTTTTGAAACCAGTGTAATGTGACTGATTGACGAAGTATAAATTCTATGTAGTCGGGTCTAAAACATATATTTTGTGTGGTAGGGTTAATGTTATAAGAAGATTATTTCAGTTACTAGTTTGTCGACCGATTAATTTCATTTTATGGGGTTACTATTCAGCTTGCGATTACTTAATTTGATCTAACTGTATGGAGGGAGGTTCAATTACTGCTAGATTGAATTCACAAAATGGGTTCACTTTTATGATAAATTAGCCATTAGTGAACCAACTGAATAAGACTTGTTTGTCTATTGTATAAAATAAATAATGCTTCTTGAGAATAAATCTTTGGAAGTGATTATATTACGTAATACATCAGTACACTTGCATAATATAATAATGAGCTTATTATTGGGTCTAGAGTATCAATGATATTCATTGCTAAATTGTATGCTACAACATTGTATCTACCATATCTAAGACAAAATCTTTTAAATGAGAAACCTTCAAATAAGCATGGAAAGCATGGCGTGTAGATGAATTACACAGATCACAGAATTTCACAACGGTTTTATTACTGAATTTAATGTAAACAAAATGTAAGTTTGGTTGTGATAATATAAGTTCTAAGATGTTAAATAAATCCAGAAACTTACCATCACAACATATCAAGAAACTGAGACGTTATTACCCTGCATAATCTTTATTTTTCACTTATTCAAATATCAGTGGTGTAGAGGTTAAGCCTTTGCGTGAGTGACTGAAGGTCCTACGTTCGAATGTTGCGTGTGGGATCGATGAGCACTGCTGAGAGGTTCCGCATTGGGACAAAACGGACATCCGGTGCTTCCAGGTTCTCGATGGTGGTCTAACATCGATCACTTCATGATCCCAATCAAATCTTAGTAAATTGTTAAGACATTCTGACGTTGAAACATGTAATCTCATAGTGATGATAGACATTTAGAAAAGAACTTGAGATCATTTTCAAGTCTTCAAAATAAATTTTACAGCGGAACATTGATAGGTATGTCTCAGATTATATATCATAACACAGATTGGTCTAATTTTCTAGGCCGATAAATTCAGTGCTTACTTAGTTTTTTATATCATATGACAGTACACTGTTGAAAACTACAATCCCTGTTTTGTCTTATTTTGCGACTCAGTCCGTTGCATTTGCAACCGGGTGATGTTCACCTTAGACCTCGAATCGTTATTTGCAAATCCTCAGTTTAATAAACTTCTAACTATGAACAATGTCGAGCCACTTCTTCATTGCGCCCATAAACCAACAACGGGAAAGGAAAAACCCAGATAATTGATAATAATCATTGGTGTTAATTGAAATATTGATCAGTTTGAAAGTAAACGTAATCTTAAATGTCAACTGATGTATTTTCGCTGCGCGTGCGCACAAGAAAATTAACAAAATATTTTATAGAAAAAATGAACAATTTTTAGTCTACATGTTTCTAAGTTATATTTCATTAGTTTTGTTGGGAAAATGTTTACTGATGAGTCATAAGTAACGAAATCCCATAGTATCCCAATTTATCAGGAAATTAATTTCTAGGAAAATGTAACATATAATTAGTGAAAGGTTAACCTAAATAGATTGAAACAGTATATATATGTATGTAAAGTTTCTTGTGTAACACTGATACTTTATCATGCATTTTATGTTCTGAAAATAATTACATAATCAATAATGCTTCACAATGGTGATCACGTTGGGACGGAAAGTAATGGAATGTTAGAAAACTCAAAAACACCTTATTTGGAATGACGCAATTCATAAATTGTTTTCATTCATCAAAATTTCAATGATTGTATTCATAGAATGCAGGCGAAATACAAAGTTATAGGTAGCAATATTCTAAAGTCTATTATTATTAGCTTTATTCAGTATTATATATATCAGAAGTAGAAAAGAATCTTCCATGCATTCTTGGTTCGATTTTCATGTTGGGTGAACTTTACCATTTATTTGTGAAAAAAATTATTTATAAAACGTCAGTTCAGTTCTTTAAGTATTTTACCTGTTATAAACGTTTAAAATTTATCCTTATTTTAGTGAGACAAGAACAACATTATGGTAGCATATATTAAGTTGATCATGTATTTTTATCAATATCAAACACTTAAATTTACCAACGTTCTAAAGTAAGTTCTTTATTTCTGGCTTGTAACCAGTTGATGAGTATTTGGTGATAGTCTAACATTGCGCAAGTCTAGTAATAAGCTGTAACATGTTGAATTAACGGCAAACTGACTTTCGCCTCAAATAGGCCACTGAATCCCATAATCAATGATTCTAAAGTATCGTATTCCTTGTAAAATATACAGGTCCTAGGTTCGAAACCTTGTGAAATTGTCTATGTGAACTTCAAGGAAGTTAAAATTAGACTGAAACAACTGTTGGACTGTTTCTCAAACATTTTTATGACTTTCAATCTGAAATCCGCTTATGTTGAATTACAATCCTAAACAATAATTTTTTTTCTCTGGCTTTTGTAAAATTAGTTAATATTGAGTTCATATGAAATAAACAAGCGGTTTTTTTCAATAATGAGCTGCACCTAGGATGTATAAATGTATAAATATTAAAAGTATTTTATACTGAAATATGTAAACATAATCAAACAACTCTGAGTTTGTTGTAAACAAAATGTCAGCTATCAAATATATTGAAAGAGAAAAGCAGATTTCTGTTTAGAATGACAGGAGTAAATCTGTCATTATCAACTTGTATATATTCTTTTTTAAACTAACCTAATGATTAGGTACCTGTAATTCCAGGCATTGCATTGACCCAGATATGCGGTGAAGGACTGTAGTGATAGTATAAATAAACTGTACAACACACATTTTTAACTGCTACAAGTAATTGAAAAACAATCAACTTTATCAGTGAAGTTTTTTGACTGTAATGAAGTGGTCTGTATAATAATCAGTTATATCATTCGTTTGAGATCGAGTTAATCAGTTATGAACAGAAAATGATTTGTAAAATCCGACTATTCAAACTGTACCAACTCTGTATAGCCTGGTGTAAAAATTAGTGATAAATAAGATCTAAGTGGTTGATTAGAAGATTTAATGAAAAAACGAAGGTTATCAGAATTATGTGATATGTTTGCGTAATAGATTTCAAACAATCTGATCACACATATACTTGTTAAGACATTTCTATATGAAAACTAAAACCCTTAACCTACCCTGGTAATACTAATTTATTATCCAGTTTTTATCACATTGTATTTGCGTCCTTTATTTTCTTTGTTACGGCTTACCTTTAATTTGTCTAGTTGACCTTTTAGTTTTCATATAACAACGTCCTAACAAGTACATCTGTGATCAGATTGTTCGAAATATATTGCGCAAATATATCACTTAATTCTGATAACTTGCATCTTCTCATTGCATTATCGAAGTTCATCAAAGGAACTAATTGTTTTAAATAGGAGATTTAAATTTGATGACACTAAAGCTACAAATATGTGAACATTCAAACAGTAGTTGTGCAAAATTCAGGTGAACTAAAATGTCCGTTGTCAATGTTTTCAGTTTCACAGTGCAAATCAAAGCCTCTATAACAAATGATGTAACATAGTTTTAATGGCTAAAATCCAGCCAACAAAGACAGTCAACGTGGACGCCAAAGAAAATGAAGACAGCCATATCTTCTAAGACAGATAGTCGCAAACAAGGTCGTCGGAATGAATGGATAAAAAGTGTAATAAATAAAAGTCTTGCTTTTACAGGAATAAGGCGCTTCGCACTTAAGACATGTAGTTCAATAAACTGAACGGCACAAAAAGAGTCCACCTGGGTCACGAATTTCCACTATTATCTCAATATATTTGTATATATGTAATATTGTATAAAGTAAGTTTGTTTGAAGTTTGCTTAATTGAACTGGTTTTGGTGTATAATCAGCAGAGACAAGAAGACGAAAACTTGTACTTAACCTAAGGATTTTTATTTCGTTGCTGTAAAACGAATTTATGAGCAGAATATGTTTCTATGATGTTATTAAAGATATGTGATGATGATTGGTTATTACAAAAAACATTTCAGCAAATAGATTTTTATTCATTGTCTTCTGAACACCACATAGGTATCAATCAGTTGTAAGTACCTCAGTCCTACAGGCAGTAAGTTATGGTCCGTATAGCTCAGTGGAAATGTCTCAGACTGCAATGTTAAGTGACACGAGACTCAGTCTGCCTTGAATTACCAGTTATTAATACTATTGTTATTATCAGTGACTTTATTCAATATTAAATGTTTAGTACAATATGAAGTTCTCAGTAAAGTGTTTCATATACACAGACAAAAACCAAATAACGAGACCGATAACTGCATACATATACATATGAATTAAGTAAATAAACTACCTGGAATTAGTGAAATGTTTTTGAATAGGATAAGAATTTCTACAACATTTAATGAGCAACATGTTTAAGAATACAGGTTTCCTCAAGACTAAAAAACTACTTGTTGACGTGTTCTAAATATCATGAAGCATAGGTCTTGTATATCCTGTAAACTGTCTCTAACCATTTGACTTTTTTTGCACTCTTCTAAGTGTGAACATTGGTTTCACCCAAGGCTGACACCGGAACACATTAAAATAGTTTTTGCTATTAGAATTCAAAATAAGAATACAATCACAACATCATACCTTATCAAACTCAATTCTTGATGCGAGAGTTTTACCAATTAATCATATAGTCGGAATCTAATAGTTTATAACTTTCATTTGCAATCAACTCATAGTCTAGTCTTATAAATATCTAATGTAATTGTATTCCAGCTTCTTTGGCTCCGTAATACATGAATCTTCACTGAACGTTCAGGAAACCTATTCTGAACTAAGTCAATAGAAATTTCCATTTAATTTTGCATGTATAGAATTCATTACAAGTTACAGATAATTCTCATAACAAAAAGTCTGAGCAATAACACTTACCATCAGTAGTTAATGGAATGGGTTTCGAAGTAAGGTTTAGAATTAAGCTCATCGAGGAAGGGAAAGCTAAAAATGAAGAATGGCATTGCTGAAGTGAGTTAAATAAAAGTGATATTCAGAACATAGTAGATGTTAAAGTAATTATATACATGCTCATTTTGTAATTTCAGCACAATTTCACCAAATTAGCAATACGTGACCAAATCCTGAGTACCATAATCAATACATAAAATCTGGCAGGTGTTTTACGAAACTGAAACGAACTATGTCAACGTTTATGTAGATAGTCGATGTGTTTCTGATTCATTGAATGGAAGTCGCTATCTAGTCTACTTTCAGGTTCTAATCTTTGTTTTCATCATTTCTCTTAGAAGCATAATTTGGAATTAATAATTTCTTGACTACTGATAATACTAAACAGCAAAGATTCAAATTATTCTATCCCATTTAATATAATGATATTTCAGGTCAGCAATAGCAACCTTATATGTTTTTAGAGAGAAGAGGATATCCTATACTTGTGAATAAATGATGATCATTTCAAGGAAAACATTTAGTCTTCATTCTTCTAAATATATAGATATATATACTTACATAATCGATATAGTGAAGAGTAATTCAAAATATTTATGTGAGCATATGCTTTTCAACGTTGTCGGCTTACATTAAAAGCTCCGTTGGTATATTACAACAACAATAAGCTGGTTTCAACAAACAACAACAGTTAAAGCCTTTGGAAAAAATCATTCGATGAACATAACATTTAAAAGAAAAAAGAACAATCACTACAATCCCCCGTATTATAAATGAGTAATAACCAATTAATTAGTGAAAGAGATTATATTCCTCTATTTTTATAAAAGTAGATACATTAAAAATGTGCAAGGAATAGATTGCAATTTGCAGATTAAGATCAAAGGAATTTTTTAAAAATATAAATATCATGAATGAAAAAGAAACAAACTGAAAAAGTATGCAAAGAATGCATCAATCATTAACTAGTTCCTTTATTAATTAATTGTCATTTTAATGTTTTCATTTATTTATCTGTTTAATTCTAAGTTGTGTGAAATTCATTGCTTTTTTTTAAGATGAGTATGTGCTAAAAAGAGATTCATGTAATTGATTTCATAAATTGTCAATAAAATATCCATATGTCAGATATAGATTTGGATCAATGGGAAGTTTATTAAACATCAGTATAATAATCAGCATAGGGATTTGTAAAGATTGTAGTAATTCTAATAATTGAATTCATGAGTCGATCTAAGCTAGACCACCACTGAAAACCTAGAGGCACTGGACGACCGTTTCGTCCTAACATGGGAATACTCAGTAGTGCGCATCTGATAATAATTATGTGTGCACTAGCGACTAGCTTCAAGATAGATTTCCTGGGGTTGTAATGAGAAGCCCTGACCAGTGGAGCTCAATCCGTGTTCTGTTGAGACAGGTATCTACCTCAGGTAAGAGATGAACGGTTTCGCAAGATCATGGATTGGTTGAAGTTAGACGTTAACACCGTTTTGATGCTGGCTCAGTGGTCTAGAGGTTAAGCGTTCGCGTGCGAGACCAAGGATCCTGAGTTCGAGTCATGCGCGCGGATTCGTGGATACGCACTGCTGAGGAGTCCCATACTAGGACTAAACGATCGTCTAATGATTTTAGATTTTCAATGATGACAGAACTAGCTGAAGTAAACATTCACAACTATAAGTAACACAAGAAACTGAAAGACAAAATGTGTTGGGAAATAGTACATCAAAAAGCATAAAGATCTTATGATCGTTCTACATTATGTGATTGACAAAGGTATCCGTTAGGTAGTTGGAGGTAGTTGACGAGATACTCCAAACTGAGGTTTTGCACTATTTGGCACTCAACATAAAGATGTACTGAGGTAATTGATACTTCCCGGAATATTCGACACCCCGTCACTCAACTTCACAGACTGAGGTGCTACCACTACCCTATCTGGGCTGCAGAAGACCCCTTCTGAGACTGGCATAATTGCATTTGATTATTCATTTAGTAGTGATCAATGTTGTGTTTGTCTAAACCTTGTAGGTCTGACAGAATTCTGCCGACCAAGCTGCATTATGGTTACTAGTACACGTTATTCAATATGATGTGCATCATGTTTCAATGTCAGATATACTTAGAAGTAAATGAAAATAAACCGCCGACTATTTTGATTGGCATAAGTATTTTGAAAATATAAGATTAATTTTTTACACAGTATTTGTTTCTATTTTCATAATTAGAGGGAGTTATAGAATACTATGATTGAAATACAGAGAAACTCAAAAGCTTATAATGACAATCTTCTAGAGATAAATTGATATGTATTATGTCATTAACACTTGTTTATAAGTTCTTTTGATGTGAATAAATAGTTTACCAGTTTAAAAAAATCACTGTGTAACTATGCAAATGACACCCAGTGAACTCATTTATTAGAAATAAAAGATAATTGGAAAGTTGATGTTATCTGCCTACCATATTCAAAATATTTTGGGGTGATAAAACGCTACTTGTACACTCTTCTGATTGATAAGTATACATGACAGTAGTCAGTTTAGAAACTTCAAGGACTAAAAATGAAATTATTATTTGTAAACTGTCATTCTAGTATAAAAGTTAATTATATAATCGAGTCTTAGCAAATGATGTAATTACTATAAGAAAGCACGAGTCAGAGATCTGGTTCATAATATTCCACCATCAGTTAACCAATCACATTTATTCAGTATTATTTTGTCTAGTCCTTGTTGTTAACCGAATCCTTTTGGTAAATCCAACATGTAACCACTTGTTGAGATGACATAGTGGTGAGCTCGTTCTCGGACAGTCAACAGATCTAGGATCTAGGTTCCGAACTATTTGAAACTGATCAGCAAGACTTATCTATGATCTTTAGGGTGTTAGGAAACCTATTGGAATCCAAAAATATATCACTCAGCTTCAAAATAGTAGATGTTATTACTAGGGTATTAGGGATTTGGCTTAGGTTCAATGTGACCGAGATCTAAACATACATTTTTGTCTAGTCCCAACCAGCTACAGAGCTTTCTGACGACTGCCCAAATCACATTATGTTGGCCCAGTTCTGCTTAACCCAATTTCTTTATACATTTCGCTTAGAATGCACTTGATTTTATTCCACCATTTGATCTCCACTTATATTGTAAATTAGTACAATAGCTTGAACTGTACAATGCTTAACATAATCATAAAATGTCGATGCCTAAATCACACACACAATGAATATTGAACTGATGGGAGCTATGGAAAAGAAGTTTAAGTAAAATGAAAGCTCAGATCAAATACAAATTTAAACTTACATCCCGAAATTTCTTCAAAGTCATTTGGTTCAAATCGTATCCAATTCTCAATCCCTTGACAGGAATGTATATGAATTCTGTCAAACAAAGTGTAAAGCGGATCACCAGTAATTAAACATCTGTATTACAATATAATGGTATACATATTTAGCTTTTGAAAACGGATAAAATTTGAGTTAACCTAATCGAGTTTATTTGACAATTCCCTAATCAGTATCACTAAGTGATAAAAAGTAGTTCCTAACAGGTAGTGATGTAGGGAACACAATGTGTATTTTATACCACTCAAAATGTGTCATTCCTAGTGGGAAAAAAAACGTTTATCTCAAAGACTGATAGCATATTTCAGGGTTTCATATAAATTTAAACGGTCGCATAACATTTCAAAGAAGACTGTTGAACATCACCAAACTAAATAGCTGATATATATATATATATATATATATATATATATATATATATATAGTCTTGTATGATTATAGAACAAATCTAAAACACCATGTGAACCAGATAGATCGGATTAACTTACAAATGAACAAAATACTGTTTCAAGAAAATTTTTGATTATGATCTTCCTTTTTTTAGTCAGAGTTTTTTAGACTGACAGCATTCACAAAGAAATGTACAAACACCCATTTGTGCATATATACGACCATACACTTGACACGACTGAAGAAATGTGGGACAATGTATGCAATCAGAAAACATTCATTTACCGTATATGAGCAAACAGTAGGTACAGTGTGTACTTTGACAGTGTTATTAATATTGAAGATATTTAAAAACATCATTAAAAATTTTGATTGTTGTAATAATTTCATGTTTCACTTTCACACATAAACACAAGGACATGCTTATCATAACCGAAAATAGTAAGTGGCTTTAAACTTTATTACAATGAGAATAAACGCCTATGTCTTTACCATTTAATGCATTTGTATTATATTCAATTAATAATATCATGGGCTACTTAAACTTATTTCACTTCTCTGTCAAATACTTTAATAATCACATCGCTTGTTGTAACATGATCAAGACATATCAAACTTATTTGATAAACAACTAGTGATCATCGCCCAACGATGTTCAGAATAAGTCAACTAGTATCCAAACAGAAATTCATCAGAACGATTTAAATAAGTAGAACAATACTACGATGAGATCCGTGTTGATAAAAAAGTTCATTACCACGGATATTTGAAGAAAATAGTTTGCATTATTTAAAAGAATTTCAGAACATATGCAAAAGGTTTTGATGCTGAACGACTTTAAAATAGCTTAGGAAGATCATCAAAACAGGCCATTCGGTAGACCTTGATATCGATTTTGGAGTGATAAAATGACAAAATAATAGAAAAATTCTACCTGAGGCAGAATCAGATGTTATTCGTTTTCTCAACCTTAATTTCTAAGTAAACCATCGGTTTTAACGTTTTGTCTGTTACAATCATAATAATTCACACGTACTTCATGTAATCGATTAGGTCATCGCCTTGTTTTCGCTTCTAAATTCTATTCGTTTATAAATCGAACTTGTATCAATATAGAAAGTACTTATAGATACTTCACAGGTGAAATAAGTGATTTTCTCCATGTTACATATAACATCACATTTACTGAATATTTTATTTATCTGTAAAAACTGCTGCGAGTATGGAAGTTCTACAGTAGACGAAATGAAATGAATTCAATTATTTCAATAATATTTCTTATTCTCGGTTTTTAAAAGTTTATCAAGAGAGAGTTGATTATTTGATCTATTTTCACTGAAATACAGTTTGTTAACATAATGAGGATCTATATATTTTATACATCAACAAATCAATCTTTGACTTATTGATTTTCACGCTTTGTGTTCCGCTTTAATCAATGTACCAGTCTAAATTGTTCATGAATTGAATAAATTATTTAATTGAATATATAATGATTTAGTTAATTAAAGTTATACTGTTTAAATTTATTATTTCGCCAGAATTTTTATATAAAATTCAATTTTGTTTTGTTTATTCAATTCTTTTTCGATTGTCTTTTATTTAGTTAATCAACTTAATAAATCATAAAATTCTATGCCGTTAATGTTCGTGTATTAATTATTTATTTAAAATTGTATTTCGTAAGGTATCATTAAAAAGTAGTTGATTGTTGAGAATAAATAAGCACTTTTATTAAAGATCACCACTAATATTTCCTTAATTAATGTGTCCATTAAATAGGTGACGAGATTTCTTTTTACATTTAACTCTATCTCGCACCTCTGTAATACAAAATAGAACAGTTTTATGATTTTATTATATTCATGAAATATATTGTTTAAAATTATCAACCATATCAATTTAATCTAACTCCTATTACTCTAAGTAATAAACGCATACATACACAAATATAAAGAAAAAACAAATTAATTGGGTAAAAAGTAATCCATGATATAGAAAAGTTAAATAAATATCCATTCTGTTATACTCAGAAAATAGTGTGAAAGATTATCTGAACTTAATTCTGATTAGTTTTGTTCTTCCCTGTAGTTTACGGTATGTCCTTATTGCAAAATGATCATACATAAAGACTAAAAGACTATATATGTTCATGTTTAACAATCAAGAATTCTAAAAGTTAATCTGTTTGAGCTGGTTTTATACTTAGTGTAAATTACAAGCCGTAAGAATTTGTATGTCCCACGCAACCAAATTCATGAAAATTCCTAATGCATACATCTAACTGTTTTGTTAAACGTTTGGATATTATTTACAATTGATTGATCTCTATGTGATGACCAATGTCATGTGGGTCAAGTCCTTCTCAGTGCCGATTGAGTTCTATCAACTAAGTTGCAATTTGATCACTAGTCTAGGTGACTTGACATCACGTGCATTATACTGAGATGTAAGGTGGTGGTTCGAAATAGTTGACAGAAAACCCTTGACAGATTTTTCAGGTAGCATCAGTTTTTTCAAGATTACAGATAGATCTTAGTGACGAGTGCCAAACAGCACAAAACCTAGGTCCAGAGTCGACTATCGTCAACCCCTGCCTTACTCTGGATATTACTTCGTGATACAGCCTATCCTAAACTCTGATCATGGTGAAAATATAAATTTTTCCCTTAATTAATTCTATTAATTTTAATTGTATAACTCCTACAGGAAGTAAGTCAGTGAAGTGAAACTGATCAACTGACTATGCATTTTATTGTGAATGAGATAAGCTGAAAGCTTGATGGAAACAAAAAACAAATGTTATTTTTGTTGTGTACAAAGTTCGAGCTCAATGTTATGGATCATCAAACGTTCTACTTCTTCAAAGATTGGGAACCGAAAAATTCGTTACAAATTTCGACGAATTCAATTAATAACCATGTGGAATAATTGCCTGATCAAGGTTAACTGAATGTTTAAATAGTAAACACCTAATTTTTTTTCCTAGCATCCTTATCGAACATACCTGAAATATGTTCCCATCTTTCATATATTGTAGACGTTTTGTAAAGGTGTATTTTAACGGTTTACACCATTCAACTCTCTCTCTCTCTCTCTCTCTCTCTATATATATATATATATATATATATATATATATATATATATATTAGTGTACATTTTTGCATTGATTGGTGATGACAAAAGTATGTCCAATTGAATAAGGCATAATGTATTTGAAGAATGTCATTTTAATATTTCGATTATTTGTAAGTTTATCTACGTATGTGTCAGAGTTAATGTGCAGTATTTGAAGTCAAACATTTCTTACATCCCATGAGGTAAGTAAAAAAACACAACAGTTATTCAGTGAAATATGGGTTTAAAATTGTTTATAAAATTTATTGTACAAAATGACTGAAGATCTATACTATTCCTATTCAACCCAATACATGTAAATTAATGGAAACATACAATTGTATGTTTATTATTTTTTTCTTGTAAAAAAATGAAGTTTTTAAAAATGATTAATTTTATAGCAGACAGTTTTAAAAAAAAATTAAAAGCAGTAAGATATTTGAAATAAAAAAAAGAAAAAAATTTTTTTGTAATTTTTAAAATTGTTGTCATATAAAATAAATGATTTTGAAATATTCCTGCCACCCCTCTACGCAAAAAAAATATTATGTCCATATTTGGTTAGGAAATTGATTTATACAGAATGAAGTATGATAGTTTAATAAATATTTTGTTTATTTGAATAAGTTGATGGATATTTATTCTGTATTTAGTAAATTAGATTGTTATTTATAAAAATAAATAATAGGAATAAGAATGATATGAACTAAATATTGATCTATAAAATAAGTTTAGGATATTCACAAGAATGATGCAATTGTACTCTTTAACTGAAATAATTTATTTCAGCCAAAATTGTGATAAATAAACTTAACTCTTGCTTGATTCAGAGAGAAGTATCAGCATCAGCCGAGCTGATTCTTGATCAAACCTTATAAATGCATAATCTAGCTCTTATTTGAGGTGTATTCAAGCCAGATTGGTTGGTAAAGCCTTAACTGAGGAGACATGTATGCTCTTGTGAAATAGATTCCATATTTTCAGGGTTTACAAACCCACCTCATGGATGTGATTTTGTGAGGAATGTCAGTCCTGCAGGTTTTTGCGTGTATGTAGGTATCGTAGTAAGAAGAGTAAGCAAAGGATTTTTGAGATTTTCACTTACTTTGAATGGGTAGAGTCTGCATGCATAATATGTAACACATGGACTTTCATCTAAGTATTCTTTGATATACATACAGGTATATTTAGCCTGAGAGCAAATATACATTGCATGCACACCTGTAACACACAGGTTTTGATCCCTTGCATCCTATAGCATACATATAGGTATATTCACCCAATTAAGTGATGTTTACCGCTCCCTTTGAAACGTAATTGCCACAAAAGACTGTCTTTTACTCATTACACGCTTATTATTCAGCTCATGGCTACCGCTACGGTACTTCGTGACACACAGAAATGCATAAGCATTCCCTCAGGAGAGGTTGTTGGTCACCTCTCCCTAGTATTTGCTACCTTATCGTTTTATTATGTGTTTGACTGAATAGATTAGTCTACTAATTTTATTAAACACAGGGCAGACATAATATCTACTAACGTTTCCTTTTTACAACACCATACACATACTCTTTGCATACAACTGCATACGTGAACTACATAGACCTGGGGGATTTCTGAAATTCTTATACATAAGCATACTTATCAGCTAGCTTGGTGTGGTTGAGTGAGCCCTCAGTTGACTTCCTAGTTAGTCAAGGATACAACGGGGTGGGTGATTAGTCCGATATCCATCGACTACCTACGTCGGCAAGTATGGTTGCCCCTACTATCCAGTAGTGCTGTGAGGAGGCCTTAGGTAGGATTTTGTTGCAGTAACATAAAACTTAACTTGAAACGTCCTGTGAGTACTCCATGAAGTTTACAGAAGATATGCTGTACAATAATTGCTTACTTCCTGAATCATGCCCCTGAAGCAGATTCTTTTATTTGTACGATAACAGCCGAGATTTAAATAAACCTAAGGAAGCAGTTAAGTACTAATATGTTGTGCACTATTTATGTGGACAGATATAAGTGGTATGTAGCAGGAATAGGAAGTGAAATGCTTTCCAGCACAAGATCCAAATAAAAAGAAAAGAAATGAAAACAGAGAGCGATCGGAATAACAACAGGATCGAAAGAATAATAGAATAAATAAATTACAACTCAAGGAAGATGTACAGATGATGTATTCGACGTATAATTTTGATAATTTACAAAGGGACTGTTTGATTTTGCGTAAAACATGAAATTGCTTTCCCGTACCTGGGTTTTCGTTCACTCTATGCTAAGTGGCTAAATAACAATTCATCATTAATCGTTTTGTTTTACACAAACTTGACCTAGATTTATTTACTGATAGCTATTGATTACTATCATGGTCAACGAATTTCAAAAAAATTGTACTGGTTATCTAAACTGAAAAACGGTAATTTAAATTTAATCATCATTGCTTTATATTGAACATAACAGTGAATTTTTGATCGATTCTATATCAATTTCAATAGTCGTGATCATGAGTTAATTGAAGATAGACCATCATGGAAAACCTTGAAGCACTAGACGGACGTTTCGTTCTATTGTGGGACTCCTCAGCAGTGCGCATCCACGATCCCGCCTCGATATCACTTGAACGTTAAATGATATATAATATAGTGGATTTTAAGTTATAAAATCGGATCATCCAAATTTTTCAGACGGACCTATTGTTTAAAATATTTTCTCTATACAAGTTATGCTTTACTAATTATCACTAAAGGTTATTATTAGTGTAACTGAAAAATGACAATTAGGCAGTTTCAATGGAATAAATAAACAATTATTATAAAATAAAAACAAAAAACGTTCAAATCATAAACTGTCTGGGTAAAATGTATCTTCTAAAACCATTGAGTTAAATTATGATACTACAGAAATGAACAAAATTGAAACTAGACATAGAAACAATGACATTATTCAACTTAATTAGAAAAGTGCTATTTGAAAAATCCATACACTTACCGAAATAGTCGAATACGTTTCAAAGGATAACTTCTGGAATGGTAAGCCAATATTATAATATCACCACTCAATTGTAGGCCAATATTACGATTGGAGTTACATTGGAAATTCAACACAAGATTTGCAGAATCAGTTTGTTCGTATTCGCTTGTAAAAATTAAAAAAATAAATAGGCATTTTGCAGTCGATAGAATTAAAAATCGCATAGGATGAAATTTAGCTTAAACTCTCAGTCTTTTTGAGTGTCTACAGGGAAAGTCTGAATACTTCACAGTAATGAGACCACGTCAGTATAAACATTCACAAAGTACTATGATGATGAGCAATTTAAGGACACCACTAGGCGTCATCAATGATAAAGTTTTAGACTAACAACCTTCTGATATATGTACTATTTTAAAAGTATTTTGTTTTAAAGTCTTTCCCAGCTCGCAGATAGCTTTCATCATTGAGCAACATCAGATGGAGAATTACTAAGACAGATAAGTCACTGAATAAATAATTCTTAGTTTACAGCTGGTCATTTGTGCAAATTCATGATTACATATACGATTGAAACTAGAAACTCCATGATCATCTGTGGGGTAAAACAATATTTTTGATGAATGAACTACACTTCGGCTACGTATTGTATAAATTAATATGATAAACTACCGTGTAACCCGACCTAGTTCAATCTGTCCGTCATAGTTTTATATATCATTTTTGAGAAATCATAATCAAAGCTAGTCATTGACAAGACAACACTAATTACTGTGCTTACTGAGAGATATGAAGGGCTTCTGTTTAATCCATCTATGATTACTAGATGTGTACTTCTAGAGAGAAGTACTCAATTAAACAGATAAATCTGTCTAATGCTTTCGAATTATTCAAGGTTCTTTAAGTGATATCAGTCCTTATTGATGAGTAACCATGAGCTCAAATTATTACATAAAATATCATCTAATATATCCAAGTAAAAACTAATTATTATCAGCATGAGGTTGTGGAGATTGTTGATTGTTTTCGATTGAGAGCATGAATCAACCAATATTAGACTATTCAATGCTTCCAGGTTTTCAATGGTGGTATAACATTAATTGATTTATGATCTCAACATAATCTCAAAGTTATTCTACAGTTTACTACATTAAAAAAATATACTTACTAAAGGTTTGTAGTATACATATGTACAGGAGGAGAACCAGTATAGAATTTAAAGTATAATCTTAATTTATTTTTTTCAAAAACAGGAAAATTATATAAATATATTTGATAGATATGCAATGGTGCACGTAGAATGTATAAACTGTTAGTTGGTGAAAATATTTCCATATAACCAGCGTATCTATAATAACAAAATACATAAATAAAACACTTGAAACAAGAATTCTAAATATCAATATTTGATAAAATATAAATCATATGATACCATTAATAATTAATGTTTACCTCTTTAAAGTAATAAACAACCATTGTGACACAATGATAGACATTGAACTATAATATTGGATTCGCTTCAGTTGTTAACAAATTAAAATAATCATATCAGTAAAATGAATTCCCATTTACAGTGAATGTATTGATTAAGTTTAGTGAAAGTATGAAAATAGTCAATAAAGGTAGGAGAACTCAAGAAGTAATCTATACAATTAACTGTTGATTGGATAAATATATGAATATTCTAAAAGACAAATATGATTACAATTATGAAGTGATTTTCAAATGAGGATATTATTTAATAAATTATAAATCTTAATACTGGAAGATTTAGTTGTCGGTTCAATAGAACAAGAAGAATTGGATTCTCTGAAATCAAACAATTTAAATCTAACTTGTTTGTCAGGTCAATCTATTTTGTAAATGTAATTAGATAATGAATGACTTTGTGAAATAGGAACAATAAACCTTCCACATATGTACTAATTTATAAACATAAATAATTTCCAGTGAAGGGTTATTAAAGTGGTTTAATGTTATTGGGATTATGAATGGATTAGAGTTAGGCAACCATTGCAAATCTGTAAGCAATGGACGGTTTTTTTCATCATGGTATGGGATACCTCAGCAGTACGATTTTATTTGTAACATGCATAAAATTACGTAGTTCACTGATAAAGTATCTTTAACTATCTTCTATGTTTATAAAAATTCGATTTATAAAGAAATGAAATAAACGAAAAATAGAGGTGGTGATGCAACCGACCACAAGAGACAACTATGAAATGTTATTATCGCGGTGGACAAAATAATGATGAGGTAATCATAATGACGTTGATGAAACTAGTAATTGGTAATGCTAATAATAATAATAATAATATTGGTAGCAACAATATAAGAAACAAAGAAGGGATGTTCGAACCACGTTAAAGTTAGAAATTAGACATATCTTTTCTTACCATACATCGAAATCTTATTTTGACGCAATCATAATAACTCGTTTTTACTTAATTAGTTATTTTAATATGTGTTCGCCTATTTTTAAATTTCGTTGTATTCCTCAAGCTGACGCTGACCCAATGGTTATAATGGTGATCTCGAGATTTTGGGTTGGATTCACGGTAGGATGATAGATGTACACAGTCGTGGGGACCTATAATATGGTGGAACAGATGTCCAGGGCTTCTCTGTTCTCTATAGTACCTTCATTGAAAGCAATCTGTGACGAAGATAACCTATAGATTTAGACCAAGAAACTCCTTAAATTATAATGAGATTTGAAGTCAATGTGTGAGAAAACGTAATTACTCGAATACTAAATTAATGAGCTACCAAACATTTCATGGAACAATCTCAAAAAGATAATACTAGTTATAATCATCATGATTGAGGAATGAAATATGACTAAAATGAATAATGAAGGAGTTATTAAAGGATGAGTGGAAAGGTCAAGCAAACACAATAGAATGCTTTGTCTTTCATCGTTTGTCTCAGAAAACAGACCTTCATTTACTCCTATCCTTTGTTAGCTGCATCAATGTCTACTCCTTTTCTGAAAACGCTTTAAATATTCTTATACCTGTAAGTATATCCCATTATAGGAAATTTAAATGATTATTACCGAACACAGTAAATAAGCCCCCCTAACTCCAATTAATTTAAATTAACACTGCTGCTAGTTCCCATAACTAATTTGAATAATATCTAACACGTACAGTACATCATAAGATAATCTGACAGACGTATTATCAACTGACTGACCTATCGCAATAATCACTACTTTTGATGTTCAGTGCCCTTTGGTTCAGCCGTACTTTCTCTAGTTGTACATGACTGAACTTAAATTGTTATTGTGTAAGAAATGCCTTCAAATGCAGCGTTCATATATCAACAAGATGTGCATTTAAAAAATTAAGAATTCCTATCCGATGCCTTTCATTACTGCAATATGTGTAAAAAATGTACTAAGTAAATAATTCTTAAACCAGAATATTTCAAACAATTTGATATCCCATATTTCTTCCGAATTATATATATATATATATATATATATATATATATATATTCACTTTTTAACTCCGTCTCTAGCTCTTCTAGAGCTACTGTTGGTCTCAAGCCCGGGTGTGAGATCGGCAACCAGATCCCGTAGAAAACAACCTTGCTAAAATAGTTGATCAAAACAAACAATTTAAATCATATATGGACTCTGTGCTGGGAGTTGAAAGAAGAATGATGACGCCTCATGATGAAAGCCGAGATTCTTTGGAAGTCAGCAGACCGATACCCCTTCTAACAATTAGAGCAGCAATTAATATAGGTACATCAAATGTCCGGACAATGTAGGAGACCGGGAGGACCAGTCAAACAGCAACGGAAATGAAGCGATACAACTTGGCAGTACTCAGTATCAGAGGAACCCATTGAACCCAAGCTGGAAAGCAAAGGCTAGATACGGGAGAGATGCTGTTGTACTCCGGTTAAGAAAAGTGAAGTGCTCCACACATTCAGAGAGTTGCTATGATGCTGTTCAAAGAAGCACGAAATGCACTTATAAGATAACAATCTCATGGATCCAGGACTATCAAAGCATCTTTCAAAATAAGGACGAAAGAAATCACAATGCATGTTATCCAGTGTTGTGCACCCAGCAATGACAGCAATGAAGACGATAAAGATATTATTCTACTCGACCATAGAGAAGTGCCCAAGAAAGGAATTGAACGTATTGGTAGGAGGTCTAAACGTCCAAGTCGGAATGGACGATATCAGGTATGAATATATCATGAGACGACGTGGAATGACTGAGAGTAAGGAAGGAGAATTGCGAGAGATTCACCAATCTATGTGCATTCAACAGATTGGTTATAGGCTGCACAATAGACCCACACAAATGCATATACAAAGCATTATTAGTTTCACCGGACCACATCAGTGAAAACTCGATGGATCATATATACATCATCAAAAAATCCACAACATCAACAAGTCGGAAGCTTCTGGCTCGCAACAATAATCATCATAAGCAATGGATCTATGTCGAAATCCTGGACAAAATTCAAGAAAGTAAAGATAAAAAGAGAGCAATTAACAACAGCCAAACAAGAACACAACGGAAAGAAATATGGAAACACACATGACACAAAGAAGAAACTGGAAGGGAAATATAGTGAACCAGAACGACCAGTCAATGACAAAGAAGGCGAGCTAATCGCTGAGATTCAATACACAAGGTCAGATGGGTAGAACACAGCAAGGAACTCTTGAATAGACCAGTTTCATTGAATCGGCCAAACATCGAAGCACCACACACACACACCTTCCTATAGATGTCACTCCACCAATGATAGAAGAAATCAGGATGGCCAGTCATCGGACAAATCAAGTGTGGGAAAACAGTCGAAACTGACAACGTACCAGTTAAAGCACTAATATCAGATATGCCAGTAACTGCAAAAATGCTGCTCACTCTATTCAAAAAGATGTGGAAGGAAGAACAAATGCCATTGACAGACTGGAAAGAAGGATATCTCATGAAGATACCAAACAAAGGAGATCTGAGAAAATGTGACACCACAGTACTGTCAGTACAAGGAAAGGTTGTCAACAGAGTGTTGCTAAACCGGATGAAAGATTCAATAGACGACCGACTTCGAGATCAGCAGGTTGCATTCCGTAAGGATCGGTCATGCATATACCAAATCGTCACACTACATGTCATCGTTGAACAATCGATTGAATGGAACTCGTCACTACTTGTCAACTTCGTTGATTATGAGAAAGCGTTTGACAGTGTGGTTAGGAGAACATTATGGAAAGTTGTTCGACACTATGACGTTAGTAGCTAAGAATATCGTGAACATCATCCGAAATTCATACGACGGACTACAGTGCAAAGTGATGCATGTAGGACAGCTGCCAGATGTACTCCAACTGTAAACCGGTGTCAGACAAGGCTGCTAATTACATTTCTCTTTCTTCTGGCAATAGGCTGGATCATGAAAATCTCTATATCTGACGGAAAGCACGGAATACAATGAACAGGTTAGGTGCAGATGACCTAGCTCTTTTGTCCCATACACATCAACAAATGCAGATGAAGACAACTAGTGTAGCAGCAGTCTCTGCAGCAGTAGGCTTCAATACACACAAAGGAAAAACCAACATCCTTGAGTACAACACGGAGAACACCAGCACATTCACACTTGATCGAGCAACTCTGTAAGAGGTGGAAACTTTCACTTACGTGGTCATCATCATATATGAATAAAGAGGATCTGATGCAGATGTAAAGGCGATGACTGGTAAAGCAAGGGCAGCATTCCCACAGTGGAAGAACATTTGGAACAAAAAACAACTGTCAATAAATAGCAAAGTCAGAATCTTCAATACAAATGCCAAGACATTTCTAGTGGTTGGAGCAGAAACTACGAGAACTGCCACAACTATCTTTGAAAAAATAAACATATTTATGAACAATTGTCTATACATGATACTCAATGTCCGCTGACCGGATGCCATTAGCAACAGCCTATTGTGGGAGAGAACAAACGAACTTCCAGATGAGGAGGAAATTAGGAAAAGACGTTGGAGGTGGATAGGATATAAACTAAGGAAATCATCAAACTGCATCACGAGGCGAGCGCTAACGAAATAAGTAAATACGTGTTATTTCAAAAATGGTCAATAATGTTATAAACTAACCGACAATTTCGATGGAGAAAACAATTAATGAGCAACTTTACTCTGATTAAAATGTTGCAGCCAGTTGCCAATGAAGGGATGACTGTGCATTTACTTTAGTTTGTTGGATGATTTTTAAAAATCTAAACTTAAATTATTTTCCAATAAAGTTTTCAGTTTAATTTTACTAGTTATATATTAAGAGAGTTAAAAAAATCATTTAAACCGAATTCTTGTGTTCATCAAGGTGTAGAGGTATAGAAGAAAAATCTGTAACGAACTATGTATAATTCTTATGAGTGAATACTAAAATATTACGTTGGGAATGCAATATATTCTACCACAAAATTTGTTCGCTTTGATTATGATATTCAAGAGATTTGAATTTTCAGTATGAAGTTGTGGAGACTTGTGTTTTTGATTGAGATCATGAACCGATCAATGTTAGACCATCATCGAAAACCTGGAAGCAATGGACGACCGTTTCGTCCTGTTATGAGACTCCTCGGCAGTGCGCATCCACGATCCCGCATGCGGGATTCAAACCCAGGACCTTCGGTCTCGTGCACAAATGCTTAAATTCTAGACCACTGAGCTGGCACCCAACGGTGTTAATGTCTAACTTCAACCAATCCACGAAATTGGGCGACCATCTTCCTTTGTCTGAGGTAGATAACTGTCTCTACCCGACGCGGATTAACTCTACTGGTTACATCTTGTCACTTGAACTTGAGAATTGCCTCTCGAAGCCAGTCGCTAGTGAGTACTGCTGAGAAGTCCCGCACAAGGACAAACGACCATCCAGTGCTTTCAGTTATCTCATTTTTTCAACCTATTAGCTTTTTATTAAAAGTTTGTTTTAAACTAATATTTGCTAGATTGTTATAACAAACCAATTTGCGACTATGTTGTAACTTGGCTTATAGAATTTCTTCAACATTTAACGATGGACGAAGTGAAATTGATTCATATTCCGTGTAACCATCTAAAAGACATTTAACTAACTTTAACTAGCTCATTGGTAGTCTCTTTAAATAGTTGATGCAGATCTAAATATCTGCTGAGAATTAGTTCTCTCCAGATTACGTATACACTCTTCTGACAAGCTCCAGCCGACATATATTTAAATTTCATAACTTCTCATCAACTGTCTCAGAGGTTAATACTGCGCTATATGACACATAATCAAAATTGGCATATTGATTAAACCCGCCGAGTTATATGACGTTTTTAAGTTGCATGGTTTATTATATGCAAGCATAGATGAGCTCTTGTGAATAACTGTATCGCTCGCATAGCTGAGGTAAACCCCTCAAGATCATTTTATCTATGAATAAATACATGAAAGTTAAAATTTCTCTGTCTTTCTATGTAATCTTGTATTCCGTCTCTAACATTCAGCTAATTAATTATAATAGGATATCTATGGTGAAAGAAAGGAACCACAAACCAATATATATGATAAATTTTATTGATCAAATAATATAAGAGTTTTTCAACCATATTTGTGTATGCTGACACCATTCTTTACAACTCCTCAAAGACTTTATAAAATTAAACTATTTGTCGCCTTGGTTACATATATCATTAAAACTGAAATTTTTTCCCTTTTAAACTAGGAACACAATAAAACAAATAGCTCATCTAAACTTCACTTTCCCTCTTGTGATTACCATTTTAAATTTACTTAAAAGGTTTTTTAGACATTCAGTGATTTATGCATCTGTCAAAAAGGAAATCAATTTATCAAAGTAAAGTTTTAAGTATCATTTTTCTTTGTACGGACTTCAAACTAATTCATTCCACTTCTAAACACCAATATTGAATCATGATATTTTTTGTTACATTCTTTTACATGAAAGTTATTGTAATTTATTCTGTTATTTGGTTTTTCTATAGAACTAGCAGTTAATTCCGCAGTTAGTCGGTCTTATGCTTTTTTTTACACAGCCATGACTACTTATTTTTAATTAGGTAGTATGAATACTTGTTTATTACATTGACATAAGTCTACAAAATTCACATAAAATTTGATAACTGTGTTGAATGATCACTCAGTCTGCCTACATATATATATATATATATATATATATATATATATATATATATATATATATATAAGTCATGGGAAGGAGGAATGTAAGCAGCACATCTTTATATTGGAATCATTTACGACTATTTTGTAATTATTTGGTCATTATATGTTATATTTTTATTGAACCTCAACAATCAATAGTGTCAAAATTTATCCATCTTTCGGACCAAATATTAGTATTTTGATAGTAACTTTTTACTTATAGTCTCAAAAACGGTCCATTTGAGATGCATTTCCTCTATCTACTGTAGAATGTGACTTCGTGATATATTAGTTGGTTGTCCGTTGGATAACCTGAGACCAGGTTTCTCGTTAATTGATAAACTCAAACGAGATATACCTAAATTTCAGCAAGATTAATGATCTGTGTGGGAGTCGAACCCACGTCAACAATCTGAACAATTAGAGAAATTGTTACTGAAACAACTGACATTCTGCAGAAATGAAAATTACAATCAACTGGTCACTGTTTAATGACTAATTCCACGTTTTTCTAATTACTGGTTGGACTCAAATGATAAAGTGGTAATTAGAATGCTATAGGATCAAAATATCTAAACAAGCTATGGTTCAATGATCAATCAGTGGTAAATATTGTGACTTTCCAACTTTACTGAGTTTAAATAATGACCACTGGTTAATGTTAATTGTAATTTTACGGAGGATTCTTCAGTCAGGTTTAAAAGGCTTCACTTGTCTCAAAAATCTGATCGATGAAGATATATATATATATATTAGTCTATTGAGAAACTAAAGTAATTATTCCATTAACCGTATAGATACTGAGTAATTATCTGGAGTTTAAGGAAAGGTAATTCGTGGCTTATAATCTCATGAATATATCTTATTATTTTTAATGACAAACTTTTGTTAAACAAGACAACCAACTTAAACCAAATAGCATCACCATGAAACAGTTGGTGAATTTCCTTAGATGGAAATATTTCTGCAGTTAGTCCAGATGGTCAGCGAATACTGAACTGAAACATAAACGTAAATATTTCTGACAATCTGTTTTACTACTAATATTGATGCTAGTAGCAATAGTTAAAAACGGAAAGAAGTAGCGCAAAAATATTCGAACTTTCCAAATGAATCCAACAAACCATTTCATTAATGAAAATGTAACAAACCTCATCCAACCAACCGGAACATGAGAAAAACCATTAAGATGGGATGAAATATAACGTCGTAGAGAGCAAGTTTCGTGATTCTGGTATCTGAAGGAATATAAAATTGTATGAAGTGAAATTTATTCTTATGCCTTAATAAATATTTCATTTATATCCAACCCATCAAAAGCTGACACCTTTGAAATCATCATTATTGATCATAGCTTCGTTTGGATATTTGCTACGTTTACGAACACTATTAGCTATGATAAACGCTGATGAATGCCAACATATTTTCACATATTACTAGTTCATGCAACCACAAATGCCATTTTGTTATTATTGGTTGTTTAGAACAAACGAGAAAAAACGGATATAATTTGGGCAAAAAATCTTTTATATCAAAAATGATGCATGAACAACCTTAATTTTGAACTACCCTATGTAGACTCATAACACTACAGCAATCAAAATTCACAGCCCTTTAAAATTGTTGTAAACTCAATACTCTTAAAATGTTGAAATGAATGTAACTGGTTCAATTTTTAAATTCAGTTAATCTATGAGAATTAACAACCTTTTGTTAGTCTTTTTATAGTATGATAAGACATGGGTGAATAGTTCTGTCAAGTTCTAAAATAAAATGGATCAGATATTCATTACTCAAAGCTTTTTAATATTTTTCTTCGGCTTATAGATAATAAACTACTTTAGAACTTGAAAAATAGCTATAATAAACAACTTCAGCATTTCTGTTAATAATGAGATAAGAATACTATTAACTATGTTCTCGGATAACAATTTTAGTGGTTCGGGGTTTCACTACCTTAAACTATTTCTCAACACTAATTTCTCATTCATTAATAACAATATTACACTAACCGTCAATAACAAATTAAAAAACACGATGAAATTATATAGCGCAAGAAAATTAGTAAAGTGCTCATGGACAGTACATAAGAAAGTTCATTCTTCAATTATTAAATCTTTCATGGTAATGTTCAGACTGATCTGATGCTAAACCTGGTACTAATAACCGTTTCACTTATGATAAAACCCCTAATAATACATAGGACAGTAAGATAAAAAGCGAAAAATGCACTATTTCATATCTGTTAGCAATTGACTGTAGATACATCTTCTATTACCTTGAAGGGGAGCGTTATAATAAACTCATATTACGTATATATAAGAAATAATTCACAAAATGCAACTTTTAGGATTATCTGTCTACATAAATACAAAACATGTTAGTCAATCTTTTTGTTATTATTTAACCTCCTGTTTTGTGGGTTGTTTTATGTTTAACACAAGTAAATTCTGTGTCATCGTGAAATCCTGAACATTAGTAAAAATTTATTTTGAGTTTCTGTCCTTTTTTCGCCCAAGGTATATCCTATTCAATGCCAAACAAAGTGATTTTGAGGTGGTGGAGAAGATTTGTAGCTCAAATGGATGATTTTGATGGACTTCTACCTGAAGTTTGTGCTGATGATGTCGTTCAGTAAGACAATCAAAGCTCCACGAGTAAACCAGAGCTCAGAGAACAACTCTCGATCAAAAAAGTGGTTTCCATTAAGGAAAACTATTTTCGATTGTTTTCACTTTACTTCTTTATGTGAAAAACACATTAGCTTCGAAATACATCTGTATGTTTGAGAATAAATACGTTGATTACTTCATTAGAATAGTATTGCATTACATTTCATTGTTTTAAACAAGTTCTTTTCATTGGGCCGACAAATTATGCTTTAATTTACATATACTTCCACAACATTGATTCAAAAGTTAAGTATACTTTATTCATGTGCTTAAAAGTTGAGAATAGTTCCCATTTAATTAATTTTTCTTATATTTGTACTGAACAAAGGCTTTAAAAGCTATGAATTGCAGAATTATACATGACAATGTAAATCATGTGTCATGACATTTTACAAGCTAATTTGTTTCCTAGAAAACATCTTTGTATATGCGTACCAAAAGTCATCTATTAAATAGAAGAAAATGACTTACTTATTAATTGACCCATAGAATGAATCCAATGCAAGAACAAGTAACATTAAACGAATTTTTGCTTGTTCACCTTCAGCATGAAGTAGAATTATATGGTATTCATCTAATGCTAACCAATCATAAACTTTCTGACAAAATACGACCATTGTTGCTAAATTAGGAAAACTTGTTAAAGAAAATACGCAATTTTGAACCTGAAGTAAGGAAAAATAATAAAAAGTTAAATAAGACTTTCATTTTCATTACTTGTAAAGAACATATCACAATTCACAAGAAAATAAAAGTTTTACACTGAAATCAATAGATTTACAACGGAGTAGATGGAATAGTTATTAGGACGGAGCAGTATTGTAACTCAGTATATCCATTATATTTATCCGTTGTTGTAATATAATCTTATGATGTTTAAGAACTATGGTTATACACTGTTAATTATTAATATTTTAGTGATAATTAATACTCCATTGAATTTATTTAACATTTGACTATCTTTTCGGTGTATAATAAATCATATGAATTTAACTTTTCTTCTTTCTCTGAACTGTCATATCAATGTTTTTACAATCATCAATGTTTTCAATATACACATTTATACTGGACCGTGATATACAATCCGCCTGGAGTTCTTCTGAGGCTATTGCTAATTCCAAGCTCGAATAAAGCAGGAGGGTAGGGAATGGAGTTAGTGACCTCATCCCGTAGAAAACTAACTCGCTGAAAAAACACTATTACTAAAATTATATAAATTTATCGTTTGATGTCCATTGATTCTCTATTAGTTATATGCTTACATTCTAGTGAATACTGAAACTCATTTGAAATATCCAGACAGACTTAAACTGTAGCACTTAGTTGAAAGCTTACTTCGAGACTGTAAAATAATTAGTTAAGAAATTAATTTGCAGACGCATATTTGTAAACATGGTTTCCCCCCACCACAGTTGTCTTTCATTACAGTTGCTAATTGTATTAGTTAGTTAATTATTAGAGTATCATTGTTCGCATTATGGAAAATGTTTTAGCCATGACGTGTTTCGTCAAAGTTAATTTTTTCCCACTAATACGAAATATTAAACTCTGAATATGTTATTTGTAAAATCATCCAATTTTAAGTACTGAATAGAACGATCTATGATATTTTTTCAAGGGACAAACGTATCCGATTAAAAATAATTAATGGAAAATGATCTCTTAGATCTTCGTAATGAATATATAAAACACTTCATATGAACAAAATGTTAGCAGAGTTTTGTAGTCCCTGATCGAAATAGAGATAAAAATTCTCTGTAGTCTAGCTAAATTTAGATCATAATACCATGTTAAACGTATGTTTATCGTGTAATAATAAATCTGTCTTTCTGTGTTACTGCATAACTTTAGATACATATTTTTGTTTATTCACTGGTAGTGAACAATTCATAGTTACAAAACGTATATTCAGGGAATGAAACTATATGAAAACCACTGTCTAATTCAATAACGATCTCAATGATGAATGTACAGGGGTTTTTGAATCCCAGTCAATACAAAACGAATTCGGTAGTAAGATTAGGAACTTAAATTCAAAGTTAATCTGTGAAAGTCCTGTCAATTTACTGAGTATAACTTCTGCGTGGTTATTTAAATGATTGAAATTTATGTTGGTTATTGCCCAGAAGACGTCCAGACAAGATTATTGGACGGAATTATATATATTTCAAACGCTGGGATTATTTTAAATATAATTTTTACACATAATGAATTTTATTTAGATTGTTTTACTCACTTTGTGAAATATTTTATCCAAACGTATATTAGTTTGTGAACAATTGAATACCTATGGAAAAGAAAGTGTGGCGCATATATATTTGGTGCCCCTCTGTACCAATATTTATGTGTTCAAATAAATAATAAAAAAAATATGGAAAAGAAAAGAAATATCCGAACAAAGGAACAATTCTTAATTCTTACATATAATACATTAGACAGGCATATTTAACATTTTATATGTAGTTTGTCACTTCTGTGACGTTTAATATTCATTCATCTGACACAGGTAATTATAAGCGTTATACTATATAAACTAATTGGATCACTGAGAGCTTTTTAATTAGTCATCTTCTGTCAATTTTAACCATAATTCTTTGCTACTTTCATGAAAACTGTGTTTCACCTAATATTCGGTTAGGAAATTGTATTTTTTTTACTACAAAATAGGAAGTTGATAAATTTTAGATAACCGTACAAATAATCAGCATATGTGCGCCTAACTCTTGACACTACGATTCTCAACCTTAAAAGGACAATAATCTGACTGAAGACACATATCAAGGTTTGTTCAGGAACAGGAACCAAATGTTTCTATGTGGTTACGGTCAACGAATTTCTGTACGAATCGCTTTATCTACTAACCAGAAGCTTACCTCTTTCAGCACATAATGTAATTCAGATTAACTGAGCCATTTTCACATCTATTTGTCTAACGTTCAGTGTTTAATGCTAGCAATCTCGAACGTAAGCTTACAACTAGTGCTATGAAATACTGAACTACGTGTTAGCAGATATTCAATATACTGTTTCTTTAACAGGCAAGTATCTTTCGTCCCCAGAAGTGTAATTCATTAAGTTGTTTTATTCAATTTTTCAATCAAGTGAGGTCTTTATCATTTATCTAATATTCCCTATGATCGTGTAAAATTATAATTTCCATAACATAGAAACATTACCGACTTAATACCAGATGAGTCATTTATAATGAAACAAAACTGTTGTGGTTATAATTTTGTCTAATGAATCACTCAGTACAAGTTGTCACTAGTTAATCTGTTGTTTAGTCATTTTTAAAATTCCTAATTACTTATCATTAAAGTAAAGTAATCGGTTATCGATCTTCCAAATTCATAGGAAAAGACTGATACTATAAATTATCCTGCCCAGCCAATAAATCTATTTAAAACCATTCTTGTATAAACAGGCATTCAGTACCACTGACATTCGCAGAGCAACTGAAAGACTTAAACTATATTACATAGATCTAGTAATCTATATTCATTGCAGATCAAATTAGAAAAGAGGAAGAATACATACATCATTATCTTTTAAGCATTATCAACTTGAGTAAAGAAACGACCGCTCTTAAATAGTAGACCATTCCCCCAGATAAATAAACTGTGGAAGAAACATTCTCTAATAAACGCCAAATAAAAACCTGATGTAACGTATAGTATTAAGATCTTTATTTGATAATTGCTGTGTTGGCTATACTAAAACATAAGACATTTTTAAAATCCTATGAATGTAGGAAAATTGTATTATGACTGCATCTAGTTGACACTGTTCTTTATTACTTTAAAGAAAGTAAACGAAATACAGTTTTAATTATAGTTTAGTGATATGAATAACAATCTATATTTAGTTTACGACTTTACACAACTAATTTAAAGCTGAATTTTATTGTAAATATAAATAAGCTTAGAAACTATATTCAATCATACCTTACATTATTGATTTATGACACTATAAATTATCAGGGTACAATTTTTTATAAGTTAATTATAACTAGCATGTTAAATTGTCAACTAAATTAATATTATAATCAATCGATGATTAAGACTACATTCAAAATGTTAATTATATTTTAAGTTCTTGAGATGGTAGAGAAGATTCATAGCTTGGCTGAATGATTTTGATGGAGTTTTGTTCTCTGACCCTGATGGTTTGGTCGTGGAGCTTTCATCGTTATTCTGAATGATATTATCAGCACAAATCCTACCTGAAGTTTGTGTTGGTGATGTCGTTCAGTATAACAATCAAAGCTCCACGATCAAACCATCAGGGTCAGAGAACAGAACTCCATCAAAATAATTTAAGTGGGTAGTCATATTAACCGTTTATTTAAGATATCTGAACTTTAATCTTTAGTCAAATAATTATTTTTTGGAAACTATTGTATTTATCTGTTCTCTTATCTGATTAAATTAATGCTTTTCAAATAGTGATTAACAGGTGAGAATCTAATAAATTAGAATGTTATTGTTAGTTATGTTCATAACGAACTAATCAAATTGTTGCTTAAACGTCCACCACGTCAATCTGGTCTGATTTATCCATAGATAATCCCTGTTGCATGTGAACTTCCAGTTGAAGGACATTATTATCCTATTATATTAGTGTGACTCATAATTTTCTTTTCATTTCGATAAGACACGCAATACTGGTCGGTACGTTTATGCGATCCACTTAATGACTATAATTCATTTAATTATGGTACTAATCAAATTGTTATTTTTACGTTTAGAAACAGATCAAGGTAAAAGCCAAGTTGTCTTTGTTCTGACTACGGCTTTCACTTAGACTCTATGGACGGCAGCATCACGTTCATGGTTCCAGTAGCATATCTGTAGGAAAAATTAAATCCTATAGTTATTCTGTTGAAATTCTTATTCATAATATTTCCAAGTTGGTTAACGAAATAATGTGTATTTAATGATTATCATTAAATAGTTTATTTCAATAATAAATACATGACTGTAAGATTTCTTTTACTTATTACATAGAATTTATTTATCAAAGATCTTATTCAGGCACTAAATATTTCAAACACTATCTAACATCTGTTACATTTAACAACACAAATTAATACAAAGACGGATAATAGCTAACAGTGGGATCCAGGACGCGCGTTTCGTCCTATTTGGGACTCGTCAGATGGATGCACCTGCATCTTAGAGTTGATATTCACTCTGTGACCCAAACCTGGTACCGTTCGCTTCAAACGCCATCGCGTTTTCCACTTTGCTGCTGAGTGTCTATCAAGAGTCAGTAGCTAGGGGGATAACGCGATGGCTTTCGAAGCGAACGATACCGGTTTCGAGTCCAAGAGTGAACATCAACTCTAAGATGCAAGTACATCCATCTGACGAGTCCCAACTAGGACGAAACGCGCGTACTGGATCCCGCTGTTAGCTACTATCCATCTTGACCTATAGTGCTTGTAAATTAAGGCAATATCGAGGCAATACGCACAATATGCACATATACCAATATGAGAGACTGATCAATTGCAGTCCTAAACATTAATGGAGAAGATTCAAGTAAATTAATACCAAGTGAACAGATTAATACAGTTTATTATAGTAATGATTATGAATGTTGAATTTATTTTACTCAGTAAAGTAAATTTAAAACTACAGCTGTTTAATATGCCACAATAAATGATAACAAATTAGTATCCAAACGTTCAAACTACATACATTGTAATGTGAACACTTGTGTTATTACCTGTTTAACATAGTCGAAGTAGCTATGATGCAGCTAGGGCCTAAAATTCAATAACTGAAGCTTTCGTATTTTACGCATTGAGTTATGATCTTTGTTATAATTCTGTCTCTTACGGTTATAACCCAGCTATTCCTATTGCTTAGTATTCTCGGACACCAATTTGCTCGACAAGTCCCCAAATCAGAACACGGTTGAACAGGAAAGAGATTGTATTCCAAATAACAAGGTTAGATGGAAGAAAGAAGCACAATAGGAAAGCCGTTAGTATATTTATAGTTTTTACATACGAATATTCTAGAGTCTTCTCCAAGCATCGGCTAGGGCTGATTGAATAAGAATTAGCCAATCAGCGTGCACCATCGCAAGCGTGCAATAAGCATGATTTAATCCAATCTATGTCCCGCTAACAGTCTTTATATATCTAGTGTCTATGCTGCTGTATTTATATCGTATCCTCAGTAAAATATCTGGTAGATAAACACTCAACATCTTCACTCAAATAAATAGAAACCTTTATTTCTTACGAATTAATAGTTTAAAGGGACAATGCAAATGAAATAAATTTGTTAAAAAATATATTGAATGAAATGTAGTGATTTACCAAAACTTGTGCACCATTTGTTATCATATTTAAACGTTTATATGCCTGTTTCACATCCTGTTTCGACTGTTCAACAGGTACATTATCCGGTAAAATAGTGGCTAAAAATGGAATAAGATGGGTTTAGACGGCTTGTACACGCATTAGCATAAATCTACACGAAATGTTTAAAATAATAGAAACCAAAATATAACAGAAAATATGATGAATCAATGCTTTTTATGGGTCACTTGATTTTCGTTTCAACTAAGACTGATTTTCTTTCATTCTGTGCATGGATAGTTGACATATTTCCCATTTTTATAGTTTATGTTGTGAACTGATTTCATCCTGAAAAATACTGAAAACCATTTACCACTGGATAGTCATTCTTCTTAGTATGACATTATGGACGTACCAGTGATCAAACAAATGCTTTTACCAAAAAACATCACAATATTCAAAATTGCAATGAATTTTATTACAATTGATACATTTCTCAACCTCACCATGTTATTAGTTAATTCATTCTATTCAATGATTCCGAATATTTACTAACTTTATATTTTTTAATAAACATAACGAAATGTAAAGCTAATTTTTTAATCATCGTTTCTAAAACGGGGAAACAGTAAATTTGGTTCCAGTGCAAAGTCACAAGTCTCTAATCGAAACCTACAAAGTTGTATATTCTACACATTGTTGCTCGATATCTTAAATACTTTCATTGTCCACTCTTTACCAACCAGAGTCTACAATTTAAGCGAACTAGATAAAGACTATTTTGTTTTTTTAATTCTGTAAACCAGGTTATAGAAAAAATATAACTGCAAACAAAATCCATGCAATTGGCTCCCGTTATCAATTTGAATTAAGCAAAAACAACAATTAATGCAGAACAACATGAATTCATTATATTTCATGATTTCACAGAATATGTCAGTCACATGGCAAACTAAAACGTAAGGTATTTTATCGGAATCAGGTTGACAAATCATTTCAAAATAATGACATTGCTATTTTCGAGAATTAAACAGTTGTTAAATTTCGATTGCATAACCCTTATGTACTCAGGTCTGTTGCACAACTTGGAGGAGTTTAGGTCGCTCGTCAGGGTTCTCCATCAAACTCTATCCTTAGTTCTCGTCTCCAGTTATTTTTTAATGTCTGACTCCAATTCTCGAAGCAACGTGTTCGCCGGTCTTCCTCTTTTCTTTATCCATTTCAGAATTCCAAGTTGTAGATTACCTCCTGATGCAGTTTGATTTTCTCAGTGTGTCCTATCCACTTCCAACGTCTACTCCTAATTTTCTGTTTAGATAAGAACTGGTTTGTTCTCCCCCTCAGTAAACTGTTGCTGATGGTATCCAGACAACGGACATGGAGCATCTTAAATAGACAATCGGATACATTGAAATACTTGTACTTTCTATGATGGTTGTGGTAGTTTTCCAAGTTTCATCTCCATAAATTAGAACTGTCTTGACGTGCGTAATTAATATTCTGACTTTGATGTTGGCTGACATAAAGCAGTTTTGAGTTTCATATGTTTTTCAACCGTAGGAATGCTTCCATTGGAATACTAAACCATGTATCCGAATTTCACTCTTTATCGATGATGCTCCTATGGTACGTGAAAGTTTCCACCTCTTCCAGAGCTACCCCATCAAGTGTGGTTTGGAGTCCTCTGTGTTGTATTTCAGTATCTTGCCTTTTCCCATGTACATGTTGAGGTCTACTGCTTCGGAAGCTGTCAAAACACTGAATATCTTCACCCAGTTATTGCTGTGTATCGGATAGAACAGACACGTCATCTGCAAAGTTCAAATCGTTTAGCTTCATAAAAGCTGTCCATTACATTTCGTGATTCTACTCAGATCTGGAAGTCTTCATAATCGATTCGACAACCAGGGAAAGAGAAATGTGCAGAGCAAGCAGCCTTGTCTGACACCGGTTTACAGTTGGAGTACATCTGTCAGCTGTCCTACATGCATCACTTTGCACTGTAGTCCGTCGTATGAATTTCGGATGATGTTCACGATATTCTTAGCTACTAACGTCATAGTGTCGAACAACTTTCCATAATGTTCTCCTAACCACACTGTCAAACGCTTTCTCATAATCAACGAAGTTGACAAGTAGTGACGAGTTCCATTCAATCGATTGTTCAACGATGACATGTAGTGTGACGATTTGGTATATGCATGACCGATCCTTACGGAATGCAACCTGCTGATCTCGAAGTCGGTCGTCTATTGAATCTTTCATCCGGTTTAGCAACACTCTGTTGACAACCTTTCCTTGTACTGACAGTACTGTGGTGTCACATTTTCTCAGATCTCCTTTGTTTGGTATCTTCATGAGATATCCTTCTTTCCAGTCTGTCAATGGCATTTGTTCTTCCTTCCACATCTTTTTGAATAGAGTGAGCAGCATGTTTGCAGTTACTGGCATATCTGATATTAGTGCTTCAACTGGTACGTTGTCAGTTTCGACTGTTTTCCCATACTTGATTTGTCCGATGACTGGCCATCCTGATTTCTTCTATCATTGGTGGAGTGACATCTATAGGAAGGTGTGTGTGTGTGGTGCTTCGATGTTTGGCCGATTCAATGAAACTGGTCTATTCAAGAGTTCCTTGCTGTGTTCTACCCATCTGACCTTGTGTATTGAATCTCAGCGATTAGCTCGCCTTCTTTGTCATTGACTGGTCGTTCTGGTTCACTATATCTCCCTTCCAGTTTCTTCTTTGTGTCATATGGTTGTCTCATATTACCTTCTCCTCTGTCATTGCTAGCCCTTCAACATTATTCTACTTTTCGACCCTAATGATCTTCTGGACTCCCAAGTTTGCTTCAGTGTATTCGTCCTGTCCCTTGGCTTTCTGTGCTATTGTTCGGCCGTTGTTAATCTTGTTTATGGTGTCGACAAAAATGCATTGCATATGATGACGATTATTGCGGCCCAGAACCTCCTCACACGTTGAAGTCAATAGTTCTTCATCTTCTTCGAGTAGATTTTGTAGGGCTTGAAATGTGTTGTTGAGAGCTATCTTGTATTCTATGTGTATGTCGGTATTTCGAAGGAAGGCTGTATGAAACATTTGTAATCCTGTTTTTCCATTTGTCTTTTGCTTCTCTAGTCTCCCTTTCATCATGGCTACAACCAGGTGATGATCTGAAGCTACATAAGCTCATCCCTAGGATCCCATATCTTTCATCAAACGTATGAACATTTTTATGGTGCTAAAGATTAAATTATGAAGAGACGCTTCAAGTAGATAGGAAATACATCCAAAAATCATCTGACTGCATTACAAGGCAAGAGCTTACTTGAAATCCAGAAGTGATAAGAAAAACAAATACACCTAGGAATTCATAGGGTCGATAATTGAAGGCAGACATCAAAAGAATGAATATAACTTGGAAATAACTGAAGAGTAGAACGAAGGACAGAGTTCGATGGAGAACCCTGACGAGCGACCTACGCTCCTCCACGTGGGGTGACAGGTGAGTGTTAGTAAGTAAATATGATCGATTTGGTTATGAATTATGACTTTTCATTATGATAATTCATCTAACCAAGAGTGATATTTACTGTTATTCTTCTTTTAACGATACACATAAATCATGACAGTGTGATAGTTGAAATATAATATAAGCACGTTGATGATGATATTTAGAAAGAAAATTGAAGATTCATGAGCAAACCCTTTTATTTCTGGCGCACAATATCACCAGAGAAGTATTTTGTTAAACGAAACAAATATGTGTACATCAGGATTTTCTCTATTATCAAGCTCCTTCTTTTCAAAATTTGTATTATTTCAAAAATTATACAATCATAGAAATAATGCAAAAGATACTGAAATTAAATTCTTTTTTATCACCATGTTTCTAAACTTCAAATCTTAAGTTCTACTAGATTCTCATTGTTTTGAAATATGTAATGCTCTTTCACTGTTACAATCGGCATAATTGATTTTCTCGTGCTGTTTACAATTACCAATCATCTCATGAAATAAAAAAAAATTATTTTACTTTCCTGATAAATTTTCACTTTTCACAAATCACTTACCAAAAATTCGTGAACTTAATTGATCTAAACGAGCATTCTGTTCGTTAATTGAACATCTGAATAATATGAAATAAAACACAGAAAAGAATTTATTTTATGATCCGCACACATTCGGACACACACAAGCAGTCTCTAAACTGTCTGATAAGTAGTATGAAGAAATTGAGGAAACTGTTGAAACTCAGAGTAAACTTTAGTTACTATACAAATAATTTTATGTATTAAAATTAAGTGAATACGTAGTGAATGTAAACTAATCACGGCGTTTAACAGAAAGGAAGGTTTATTTTGAAGAAAATTAGGAAATCATTGGAACCTATGTTTTTCATAAAGGAATTAATCAGTTGTTTAGGTACTATAAAAACACAATCTTCTCAACATATCTGGTTGGAAACGATGGATTAGTTTTAATTTGGTTATTGATTCTCTGAAGAAGTGACTTACACAAAGTCACGAAACGTCAGAAAATCAAATTTTTCTACTCATTGGGATATTACAGATATATTATTTATTTATAACAATCTACCCAATGCTCAATTTATTCAAAATTATCAAATCAAATCTTGGTAATGATACCTACGGTAAATAATAATGTTCATTCTATGTCAAGATCCAGAGAGATTCAATGAAATAAATTTTCATCTACAATATATATTGTATACTTAATACATAAAGCAGGATAGTTAATTTCTTAGGTTCCAAATAATCCACAATAGTATAATTTTTTTTTAAAGTAGACATTTGGATAGCTTCAACGACGGTCTGTCCAATACAAACAGTACAAACAAAGAGATGATCTAATATATAGTAGAAAACAATTGTTTGCCCATATATTCCCAAAGACTTCGATGTGTACCAAGAAAAAATGGTTTACAATGACTCATTCAACTGATGGAGAATGTTTACAGAACAATCACGTTGAATTTTTGTAAAAATAAACTATATTTTATTCTTTTTTCCTCTAAAAAGAACAAAACGTAATCCATTTTGTTAATGATATATTTTTCTCCTAATATATTTGTTGAACAATGATAAATTATATAATGTTTCTCTGTTGGTTATAAACAGGATGATAGGGGTAGTGAGAAAAAAGTAAATTTTTAAAGAAAAAATTTAGCTAAAACAAAGTGTAATTATGGGTATAAAAAATGTTTAGAAGAAAAATGATTCAATCACTGTTTGATGGGCAAAAATAAGCGTTAAACGTATGCCTGGTTGGCGAGACTATTTATTATGGACGACCTTTGAAGGAATCTTAAGTAACTTGAGAAATTTCAGCCAATCAGAGGACAGTCAATGTACAGTAATAATATATTATACAAAATGAAAAACTTGGAGTGGATACATTTCTTTAATGTGGTTTAAAAACTTTTTAAGGTTAGAAACAGGTTTTGCCGTTAGACATGATACAGGAATTCATCCATGTGACTCCATAATAGTCGACCTCTGGAGCCATGATAAGATCGCAAAAGTTATTTTAACCTCGACCATATTGCTTCTATAATATTTGTGTGTACTCCGATGATGAGGACTACAAAATGCCGCTTGTGGACGACGACACGATGCATATAATCAAGTCTATGTAAGCATCGATTCTCTCTCCAGTCATCAGTGTATATTAGGGTTGCTGGCTGCACATACTCTCGTTTAATTGGTAGTATGGTTGTAGCTTGTCGGTTTCTATCGCGTTGGAAGTGTCTTTTTTTTGTAACTATCTATCGTATATACCAAGGCCCACATATGTACATTTATGGAAGTGCTACCTACCCAGAAAAACAGGATGAAAGTGACAAAGTGTTCCGCGGAAATAAAATGAATGAATGATATTCTGTTATTCGTTCTAGCTTTATTCAGAGGTATCATATTGGACACCATAACCGCTCAATGCAACAATAACTTTATCGAAAATTAGATTCAACTACTTTTAAAACAAATATTATTCAAGTAAATTATTTTCACACTACCATACACCATATTACATAAATTTTTTTAAGGTAACTGTGTTCAAACAACTAAACATTCAGGTCTCATGAAAAAATGAAAAAAGTGTTCAGTGCTTTCTGATTTTGTGTATACCCGTAGATAACATAAGTTTATGATAAAAATTACGCTCAGTTTATAAAAAAAGTCTCTACGAAAAAATATCTGTATTAGAAATACATGTGTTCGTTAACATGTCAAGTGTAAAAGTAAATAATTGATGTCTTATTTATTGTTGTTTACCTATCCGCCACTTTGTCACGTTGTAGACTTAGTACCTGCTGTTTTGTTATCTATATGAGACAATTATATTGTGTCTGCCATAATATAATTCAAATGAGTCATTTTATAACAAGAATTCCTAATTCATCGAAAAACCTGAAGAGATGAATAGCGAAAATATTAGACTAGAAAAACACAACTGAATAATCAATTAGAATGCAGTTCAAACTGTGACTCAGACAACAAAATGAAATAGGGTCAATGTTTGTTTACAAATATATTCGAAATTTAAATATCCCGAACTGCAATGTACGTAAAAATAACGGTTGGGAATTATTTTCACCGGTTGTTTAGGCAAGAAAAATAATTGAATCATACATAATTCTACACTATCAACTTTGAGATGGTTATTCAAATATTATTTAGTTATTAGTTTATTATTGAGCAATAACTACTAACCATATGACCACTAGTGACTAGCTTCGTGAAGGAATTCTCGGAGTTATAGTCAGAAGCCGTGACCAGTGGAGTACAATCCATGTCGGGTAGAAACAGGTATCTATCTCAGTACAATGAAAGATGGTCGCCCAATTTCGTGTATTGGTTGAAGTTAGACATTAACACCTTTGGGTGCCAGCTCAGTGGTCTAGAATTCAAGCATTCGCTCACGAGATCAAAGACCCTGGGTTCGAATTCCACATGGGAGATCGTTGATACGTACTGCTGGGGTGTCTCATACTAGGATGAAGCGGTCGTCCATTGCTTCCAGGTTCTCAATGGTGGTCTAGCATTGATTGGTTCATGAACCCAATTACATTATTAGACCATACTTATCTATGAATTTCGACATAAATTTTATCATATTTAAGACCTACTTACTTATTAAAATTAAGTTTTATTTTTACTTGTGAACTTTAGCTTTAAGTAACTGATACCTGTTAAGGTAAACCTTCTTCTAAAAAATTTCCATGTCGTAACTTGTTTTCAAAGCTTATCTTATTTATCAGCAACGAGATTATTACATTTAACTATTGAGATCTGTATACGTCATTATAAATTGTGAATAAGCCTTTTTTTAAAAAAAGGTTTGCCTTTGTAAGTTTATTCATGAAATAAACAATAAAGAACATCATGAAACTGAGACTCACATTTCTTGACATTCTAAATCAGTTAACTTTTCGGAATACTCCTCAAACGAAATATTGTCCATCTGTAACATAAATGTTGAAGAATCACAATTTATTGAGTTAATAAGAAAATAGCTATACAAGCATCATCTGTATGCTTTTTTCTACTGTCCACATGTCACTTTAAATGAAACAAAGTAAATGAATTATAAGAACGGTTTATGAAACTTCTATATTTACACTGATTGATCGGTGATTCGTAACTGATTTCATATTTGTTCAATCCTTAGTGTTCTAGTGATATGGTCAATCAAGTTGTAATTGTGCCACTAGTCTAAGTGACTCAACATGAATGTACCACGTCTGGATGTTAGACGGAGTTGAATGTAGTCAATGATAAACCATAGACCTTGATTATGACTATCAGCTGGCATGAAACCAGTGTACGATGTTTTCTTCAGTCTAACTCGAGCCATTTAACTCAAATATACTGTGTATACACTAAAGCACAAAATCAGAAATTGAATTCTCTATTCATAATGTGAACATACTTGATTAGACTTCAAGCGAAACATGTTCCAGAAATACAGAAGCATTAGCTGAATCCGTAATATACACTTATCATAAATTTAGGTTGATCAGTATTATCTCTATAAAAATCAAATCTAATTTTTCTTATTGATATCTTGACTTTCGACTTGTCAGCAAGTCATTACCTGATAGACGAAGATTTAAATGAGTATGGAGGCATTGTGATTTCCTCATTGTTGCAGACAGAAGTTTTTAAAAAACTTCATCAAGAACAGTGTATAAACAAAGGTTTGTCCACTACCTGGCTCCTTCAGATATTTAATACCCCATGTATTTTTTTTTAGAATAGGTGAATCCAATTGTTAAGAGTAATAAGCAGTACGAAGCAAGAATTTAAATGTTTACAAAAAAAATATATGCTATTCATAAAGAAAAATAGTTTTATTTTAAAAGTTAAATCGTTGACGTTTCCGAATTGAAATCATCAGTGGAATAATGAGAAATCAAAAAGTTTCAAATAATCACCACTTAAGGTAAATCCGAACAATATATATTCAGGTGGTAATTATGATGTCAGTTCGATATTACTTGTGAATATGTTAGTAAAAGCGACTAACAGAGACTGCATCTATTAGATAACTGGGCTTATATTAGATGACAATTACGTCCGCTGATAACAGTTATTTGAATCCCAAGGACGAATAATTCATGCCGAATATTCAGTGACGTTGTTTCCAACAGATAAATTATTGAAAAGTAGGTGATAATGAATGATGAATGACTCAAAAGAAAGTTGACTTTACAGTTTGGAATCGGCAAAATTTTCATCAAATAAGAGGTGTAAAATTTTATCAAACTTACTTGTTCAACTAGTTCATTTTCATTTATAAAAGATTTTACGTTGTCAGTTACATCTTCCTTTTCAACTTCACTTTCAATAATAATCGGAACAGCGAAACGAGGTTTCTTTTTCAACACTCCACGTGGTTCACTCGGGAATACATGAACTGAATCAGATTTTTGCGAAGTCTGTTTAAAAGGCAGACATTAGAATAAGCGGAACATTAAATAAGTTACTTGAATTTGTAGTCTTCAAATAATACTATCATCAATTTAAGTGGCTTGGAGTCTCAAATTTCACTTACCCGAATAGCAATTTGTGTTGTGTATTCATGATATGTATAATCGACTATAGAGCTTAATGTAGTGAGTCCTTCTATTGATGTTTGAGACTGAAATTAAGCAGTTTTCTATTGACATATGTACATTCTGTTAGGTATATCCAGCTGACATGTCCCGTATAGGGCGAAACGCACATCCTGGACTCCACTGCTAGGCTCTATGCCTACTCATAATAAAACTTTTTTCTCTTCAGGAATTTATGTATTAAATATTCGTTGAAAAGATACCAAAAGATAACATTTGGACACTGACTGCTAAAGACTATCATTTTGAAAAAATACATGTCCTTTTATAGGGTATAACGATTTCATGAATCACGCTAATAGACACTTAAAGTAAAAAGTCATTTTACATTATAATCAGACGTCAGAAAGGGCTATGCATGCGCAATTCAAATTTTTCCCACAAATTAAGCTCTCTCGACTACTGAAGAAATACAAAGAGAGCTAATCTAAAAGAACTATGATTAACTTAATGCGAACTTAACTCACATTTCTAAATATATCACTAAGCAAATTTAAAATTTGGAAAATAAAGACCGAGCTTCTTTAGCAAACTGCAAATTTAATAAACTAGCAACCAATTAATTAAGGTAAATGTATTTGGCTAGATTCTTTCTGTAAAGATCAACACCAAAATATAAGTACACTCTGCTAACAAGTATCGAATAGAACTAAACTATCATCCTAGATTCTGCTACTAACCACAATCGTTTTATTCTAAAAACCTAGTAAGCCATTAACTCAACAACACTTTGCATTTATCCCTAACTAGTTTTTGACTTCTTACTCTAAAAAGATTAAACATTCATCTCATTGTATGTGTTAAATTTAAAAAAATGAAAACAACTATCAATCTATTCATTTGTCTAGTTCCCATGAGAAATGGTGGTAAGCTTCATTGTTATTAAACTTGTCAAAAATTTACACAAAACATATGATAAACTTAGGAACGTTAATTGATTTGAATCAATAGGAACTGTAAGTAATTTTCATTCAGATTCAAAAATTTTAAAGTCTGGCTGTACTAGAAAACAGTAAACAGTTGTATCACTTACATGTTCTGGACTCAATTATCTATGAGATCTTACATGTGTATGTAACCGAAGAGTTCAAAACTAGGAAAAAACATCTACCAAGTAGTTATCATTTTTAAGTGATTTAAAAATAACATCATTTAGTACTTGAAACTTCAGTGAAATCATATTGATTTCTTATTTAAGTTTAGAATTAAGTAAATAAATGACACGTTTTGTGTCGGATTTCATTCTAACACATTACCAGCATTAATATAGAGTGATTACAATCCTCAAATTTAATCTAAGTCTTACCGGTTTCACAGGCTTATATTCTACTGACGCGCGGTGTTTGAGTTCTACCATAAAGAAGTTAAATTGTAAGCTTTCTCTTTGTCACAATGGTCGAATTCCACTTAATACTGACGAAGTTTCTTTTTGTTTGTTCGTTATTATAACCAACCTACTGAATACAAACAATTCTGAACAAGGTTTCGTATACGTATTGAGTTCAGCATAAGGTCATACTTAATCAATATTGAACAAGTCACTGACTGTTTAAAAAATAATCTCAATATATTTGATGGAAATCTTATTAGCGCTAGAAACATAGTATGTTATGAATGCGTAAGAAGCTGTAGAATAACCTCATTTTTATTTTTTGAAGTCTATAGTAGAATTTAAAGCTTGTTAATGGTTAGAAAGTATAGATAACTATTAGTTACTCAACAGAACTTTACAATGTAATGGCTGAATTAGTGCATACAGAATATGAGTCAAGATGAAGATACAAACACTGATATAATTTAAGGTAAGACGATAGTTTTTGGACGACTTTGAGCGACGCTTCAGTAACCTTGGGAAAATTCGCCAATTTAATATGTTCGAAAGTGTGTTATTGTTGTGACGGGAGGTGCCCGGGATCTGATACTGATGCATGACGTGCTACGCGCTAAACCCCGCGACTGACTACTAGAGCGACAAGGTATATTAGACTACCGGATAAATGCTCAAATACTCATTTATACAAATCTACCCTTTGTGAAATTAATCCATTTCCTAGCCAATGAGGTGAATTTGTCCTTCAGGTCACTATTGATCATCATCGAGTGGCCTTCTCATTAGGCTCATTCTGATTGGCTCACCATATCAGTTATTGATTAGCATGTGAAATTATCATTACCAGAGTTGGATTAGGGTAAGGAATTAGAGTAAGGGTTTTCATCGCGAGCTGACATCGACAATAATGACATAATTCTATATAACCATATGTTTAAATGAATTCCGCACCGAAATCCAAGACTTAATGTTTAATTTTATTGCTTCGTTCAGAAAATATAGTCAGGCTGTAAATTAATACATCTATTTTTCACAAGTCACCACTTAATTTTTAAACTCGAAACCAATAAAAAACCCAGAAAACAATGATAACAGTAACATTTCAATACTTTAATAAGTTTGTCAATCAGTAAGGGGATTTAGATAACTTAAGTCATAAAATCAGTCACTGGTTAGTATTACGTTTAGTAAGAGAAAAAAATAACTTTATTGATATGGAAAACTTACATATTATAAACTGCATTAACAATGAATGACAAACAATTTTACATGACTCGCTTCCTTTAAGAAATGTGATACGATAGAAGCACAGTCATTTAATGGAAGTACCATCGAATACTTAATTGAGAGACAATGATCGAATGAACAATTCATTAGAAATATGAAAGTATAATCATAAAACTTTTGAGTTGCTTAAGTTGAAAAATAACGTTGCAGGAAATTAAATAGCAGTGCACAAAATGGTGTGTTATTTGTCAGGAGTTTACTTACGTAATGTAATTTCCAACTTTTATGTCGATAAGTTGGAAACAGTCGGAACTGAAGGCATAGTGTGAGACCTATATGACTACATGTGCACGATAATGATGGATAGCTCTTCATCACTGAAATCCATTAACACACTCAAATTATTCATCTATAGATTCCTAGCTCATAATCCATTCGTGCTTCTAAATAATCCTCCCTTATCATCAGACCTAACTCTCTGTGTCTTTATTGTCTACTGAGGATGAGATACTCACTCTTGTATCGTCAAGCATTTATTCACATTCCTGACAGAAATCATGAAAATCTGTACGTGATAGATTTACGTCTCACATGATATTTTGTTTCCAATAAATTCAACACTACATATAATATATACTGTTATTTATGGTTTAAGTAGAAATCACTACAACATAAATGTATTTCATATTAGAATTAACGAAATCAGTTATACATTAGTAGTTTTGCTTACATTACTTACTTCATATTCTTCGAAGGTTAAATTTAATGGATCTTGTATAATATCGTTCATTTCCATTGGCTCAATTGTTATGAGTGATTCAAACTCAGTGCTCTCATTTAAATTCAGATGCTTTTTATTCCAATCCATAATGTCAGTTTACATACGTAAAGTAATTTAATATGACTTAAATTTTACTACATTTGCGTAATGTGTATAAAGTGAAGAATAAAGGAAATATTTGAGATTTTTCGCTTATGTTAACCAACCGAAGTTAAGTCCATTTCGTCTCGAACTAATTGATAGTCTTTTAAAAAGTCTGAAAAAGACAAGATAAAAGGTCAATTAGTATTACATCATTAATAAAGTTGGTGTAGTGTTGTTCTCTAAGCTGGATTGTCTCGACTTGAAGCTCTCACTATTCTTTCGGACAACATCAGCAAAAAATTCAGACAGAAGTACAGTGTTTGAATTTCGTGCTAATGATGTTGTTCAGAAATACAATGAAAGTTCAATGACCAAACTATCCAGCTCCACCTAATTCATTAATAACGTCTTCAATAAACTCAAGATAGCAATTACTATGAAGATAACATTCCCCACAAAGTAACATTAACAGGACAATGAGTCAAATCTGAGGTCAATAAACAACTGTTTCATTTTAGTTTGAAACTTCCTAGCAGTGCTCATGCACAAAATTACACATACGTGAAATTAAGACCTTCAAGATTTTGAGCTACCATGATATATTCACATCACACAATAAACATCTTTTGGCTTACATATCCAACCTCAGACAAACATAGATCTATCATGACTACCATAAAATATCATCAGTGCTGAGTAGCTCATTGGTTCAGTAGAGTTGTGAAACACATTTCAGTGCCGGTTATTAGAGAAGACATAGTTTTTTTTTAACAGTTTAACTGTTTGCTAAGACTAATTTTCATCTTTAATGGACATCAGCGATGAAGTAAATGAAAATCTGGATATTCGGAAAACTAATACGAAATAACCACTAATTGTATACTGGTGTTTTTGAACCATGTTCATCTTATAAGTGACAAAAATAACACATATTACATGTTACTAGCTGAAACAGAATGAAATTTTCTTTTATAATCTCTTCTATGTATCAATTATTGCAGATGTCTGTAAAATGTTTTAAGTAATGTTGTTTATTTTATAAAAAGTTAAATAGATATTCTCATATATGATGGAATGCAACTTTCGCTATTTTGTTTCTATTAATTGAGAATTGTTTTCAATAAATGAGATTGACGTGTTGATGTATGTTAGGGCAGCAGTTAATCAAAGATATTGTTTTCTTTTTACAGTACACTTTGAATTATATATATTTCGTTCTTGCTTTCAACCATACATTCACTACATGTATATAGAATTCGTCACCACTTAATATAAAGATACTCCATTATTATTTCATTCAACTCAGTAAGTTTGATTTTGTATGGGATCGTGAGTCTTAAATGTTGGAATGTGTTAATCACTGATGAAATAGTCATTCTTTTCCGACAAGTTTGAAACTAATATCCGTTCGTGTTGAAAATCAAATACTTACAATAGTTGTTTTGAATGAATAATGAATCAATTTATGAAAAGTAATCCAAAATCACTGTGAAATATAAGCAAAGTAATTAGAGATCCAAAGAAATTAATTTAATTTAATATTATTTGTATGTTACTCGAGGATTTATGTGTTTTATGCAGTCACATGAAATCAATTTCATTAGAGGGTATTCAGTGATATACAGTTTTCTGTAAACAACAAATTATGTTTGCAAACGTTTTATTTTTCACTACACTTATAAAATCTCAAATCTTATTTGATAAAACCTCTTTTTGTAAAATACATTGTAAGCAGCATGAAACTGTTTGTTACAGTGTTTATTTGTTTACTTTGCAATTATCGATTACTTATTTTTATACACTTTATTTATACATGTATCTTGTGTTGATACACAAAACAAAGGATAGTACTATTCTGCAATATAGGTCTTAAAAACTCCATAACGAATACAATTCCAGTTAAGATACAATGCTTAAGATGTTTCGGGTGTGTGATGTAACGTGATATATTGATAACCCTGAATGTGCATGTTATGGTTTACGTTTCCAACGCCAAACAACTGCAGGTCTGTCACGAATTCTATATAGTATTATGGGATCTGATCAGCTCATTGGTTCAGTAGAACCCTGAGACCGATCTTAATGCAAGTCATTAGTGAGTATATATTTATTTAACATTTGTACTGTTTGTTGACACTAATTTTTAGCACCAATGCTCAAATATACTGAGATGCAATACTGTGGATGGTGCTTTTCGGAAATGCATAATATAAATATTACATAATGAACACAATTCCAAATGGTTAAATTATAATGTTAGAATTTCGTAATATTCCTGAAAATTGTAAGGTCCCATATCACAATTATTCCTCCTATGAGCAGATTGAAAAAGGACATTATAACTTGAGGCTTGACGACTCGGTGAATAACCCGATAGCATACATAAAAGAGATATTAGACACTATGCATTGATCAATCAATTATAAATATATCAGTAGTACAGATACTCAGTTTCATATGATTAACACAATACTAGCGCCTCAAAATATGAAGCCGAGTGTCACAGCATCATAATTATTAGGGTCAACCCATTCCCTTAGTATTACACGTTCGTTTTGCTAGAGAGCTCCGTATGGTACCAAATCTAGGTTCAGTGTTTCTTGTCAACTATCTCAAGTCACCAAACATATCAATACAAGTAAAGTACTGACAACTATGTTCAAGTTTGCTTGCATTTGTACGGAAAAGCAATTGAAAGGGATTAAGGTTTTCTGTTCTAAACTGCATCTTATTGGTAGAACACAGTGAATATCGGAAGACGTGTTGCTAATAGTTATTTTTTGAATAGTTATTATTTATATTTTCATCGCGCAATAGTTAAATAGCTGGACCACTGTATTTTATATTCCTCTTTTCTTAAACTTCCAGTAGACTCATAAACACTGTTGTTATAAATTTTACTAACCCTGAGTAATTGCTAATTAAATATCGACCGGTTGTTCCGTTTTTCATTTCTTTTAACTTGGATGTGGATGAATTGAAATTTCATATCCGTGATGTGTTGTGGTCTAATGACTCATGACTATTTGGGATATATCTTCTTACTGGATACCTGGATAAAGTGGGTATGCATCCCGTGTCTGTCTTTACTTAATTACTTTACTTACGCTTGTTACTCCTCATTGAGGAACATGGGCCGCGCACCAGCACTTGCCGTCCAACTCTGCTTGTAGCTCTTCTAGAGCTACTGCCGGTCCCAAGCCTGGGTGAAGGAGGAGGGTTTGGCATGAGGTCGGCAACCCAATCCCGTAGAAAAAGTCTTGCAAGAAAGCACCAACCAGAATAAATAAATTAAGCCATTTAAACTCTGCCCTTGGTGTTGAAAGAAGAACTATGATGCCTCAGGATCAATCGTCTGTCACTGCTTAAAATTACCCGTTATCTTAAAAACAAGTCATCGGTTAAGGTGAACGTTACTGATCTCATTATTAGGATTATTTGATTGCAAATCAGTTATGTTTTGATGAGAAATAACTTTTAGTTGAACTAGGAGGTATGAGAAACGATTCAAGGACATGATTACTGACAACAAACGTCTTGCTATATTTTTCCAATTGGCTAGAAGTTTCAATTCAAACACTTATTTTATAAAATGTGCATCCAGGTAACAAGTCTAAAATAGGACGAAACGTGCATTTGTGATCCCAGTGCTAGTTACATTCAATCTATTCTATATGAATTAAGTAAGGATAATGATAATCGAATTATAAAATTTTTATTTATAATTAGTCTGTAAACGTTCGTAAGCTTAATATGTTGTATCAACATGTCCTACACATTTGACTGAATTAAAATGATTGAACATTTATTTCTAGGTTCAAACACAAACAAGAAGAATAATTATCTCTGTCAATCAAATTCTGTGAGCAAATTAGAAAGATCAACTGAAATTCTATACGTTATTTAATAGAACATAAGACTTTAGTGTTCAGTGACGCGGATTTAAAATAAGGATAATATGTGATTAATTTTGAAAGCCTTAAAAGCTGTACTCACTGATGTCATAGATATGAAATGCATGTTTAAAATTGATTACTTGTTAAATCGATTTACTTAAGTGAACATCACTATTCGCATGATTGTAATCCTATACTATATGGACAGAATTTTGCCAACCAAGAGATCCAGTTTACTCAATAAGCAAAGTACCTGAGAATCACAATCAATTGTCTATTGTATCGGTTCTAGTAGGAGATGGAAACAGTCAACCAGAAACTATGGATTCAGAATTATAACCTATTGATTTTATGTTAATATGTATTATCTTAATCTAATGTTCATTCACACTACTTATGAACAAAAAAGTCTAAAAAATTTTACTAACAAAATGTTTACATTGACATAAAATCTATTTTCACATTTAATATATAAGATATGCAATATCCAACCTTATTATCATATACATAATAAAATAAAATAAACTCTTTATTTTATATACATTGAAACTTTTGTACATTTATACATACATTTATAATTTGAATTAAAAGCATCCTTGAGTCAATAAAAACAAAGCAAAAATAATAATCGATTTATGTCCATATTACTAACATGAATTAATAGTCAAAATGCTATAAAGAAACAGGACATAATTTCATTTATATTGTATTAACCAATCATAAGTGAATAAAATAAAATCCAAACTGTCATATGATTAGTGACGAAATAATGGACATAAAAAGTCACGTGATTTGTGAAATATATATAATAAATAATACAATTTATGAATTATGCAAGTGATGTAACTTGATATTATTTCATAGGAAACAATAAATTAATTTTTATATATACACCATAATCATAATAATGTCTACAAGTCTGAACAAGTTTCCTATTAATGTGATCTATAAGTGAAAATAAAGTGATGAATTATAAGCGAAACTTGTGAACAATTTACAAATTTATTTGAATAGTATCCATGATAGGATTGGTAAAAAAAATACAATTATTAGTATTGGTATTTAAGAAAGTAAGAAAATTATTATACAAGTTTTCCACTGCTTTATTTGCTCAGATGAACTAAAAATATTTATCAAATT